ATCCACTTTATTTGACAATCTTCCATTGATTTATTTGATTCGGATTGTCCAGCATCATTTCTATCGAGATAAATTGTCGTCAATGTCTTTAAAGAAAATAACATTAATATATAGAAGAACAGTATCGAGTGAAATCTACCTTGCTATTTTGTAGAGTATCGCGAAAATGTTCTGCACCGGTAGTTGTTATTTTATTCAATCGAAGGTTCAATGTAGTGAGTGTCTGTACATAAATAAAAACGTATGTAGGAGACATTTAGAAAAACAAGAATGATAGTTACCCTATTGTGTCTCAAAGCTTTAGCTAAATGGTCTGCTCCTTTGTCCCCTATTTCATTGCGCCAGAGATCCAACGAAATCAGTTGCTAATCATAGAAGAAAATAGTAGAAAAAAAAACAAGAGAGTCACCATTACTTTGTTCTCTCGTAAAGTATCCGCAAGATAATGTGCTCCAACGTCACCGATTTGATTCCATCGAACATGAAGTTGAACGAGTGTCTTTTCACATGTGAAGAAAATTTCTATTGTAAATATATGATCGAAAGAATAGATATTACTGTGTTATATTCTACGGCATCAGCAAGATATTTTGCTCCATTATTACCGAGTCCATTTTTGTAAAGATCTAATGTTGTAAGTGTCTGAATGAAGATAGATTCAATAACAGTAAAAGAAAAACAGAAAAAATAATAAGAATCACCATGCTATTTCGAAGAGCATTAGCAAGATGTTGAATATCGTTTTCTTGCATTGGATGTTTGTACAACGATAGTGTCTGCATGTAACAAATCTGAATCTGATGAAAAAGAGAGATTAGAGAATTACTTGATTTTTTCGAATTGCCACAGCTGCTCCAACAGTCACACAATATGTACTTAAATTACCGTCGAGGTTAAGTGAATCTAACGTCTAGACATTGATAAGAAAATTTTCGACTAAATGAAAATAAAGCAGAACTCTCACTGTGTTGGTTATTAATGCACTAGCGAGAGCTTGTGCACCGTCGTCTCCGATGTGATTTCTGTAAAGATCTAGTGTTTTCAGTGTCTGTTCATGGATAATATAAATCAATGTAGCAGAGAACAATCGAGGAAAAAACAATGCGAAATTACTTTGTTATGTCGCAAACCATCAGCTAAATATTGCGCTCCTTGGTTTCTAATTTGATTAGATCGAAGATTTAATGATTGCAGTGTCTACATGTACAAGAAAAAAAAACGGATAAATAACATAAAAATTATCAACAGCAATAAATACCGAATTATTTTTTAATGCAGCTGAAAGATATTGTACTTCGGTGTCTGTAATATGGTTGAAGCTAAGATCCAATGTGATGAGTATCTATGCATAGAGTAGATCTTTTTTTACTTGAGAGATAATAAAAAAAAATCATGATTACTGTAATATATTGTAGAGCATCAGTCAGATGTCGTACATCTTCATTTCCGATTCCATGGTCGTATAAACATAGTGCAGTAATTATCTACGAGAACAGAGATGAAAACAGAATGAAAATCATCGTACGATGTAGTATGATAAATAGAAAAGAACGATTTTTATCAATAATAATATTATTCGACGATAAATTTGCTGTAATTCTACAAAATCTGATAAGATTAGAAAGACGACTGACTAAAATGTCTACCAACAAGAAGAATTTTGATAGAAAAGGTGTCTGTAGATTTTGAACAGTGGGCATATGTCAATAGTTTTGATCTTATGACAAGCTAACTGACATCCTATAGGAAATGGTTTTCAATGGTAAATTTTTTGAAAGATCTTGTCTATAATTAATATGCTTAAAATCATTCTTTTTCTAACTTACTAATGCCAGTCAACATTCGAATAGTTCTTATATAAATAATACCTTTCTCTAGTCGATATAAGACCATGAATCAACGAAGTTCTATGCTATCATAGAACTTAAATAGATATCAGAAAACTTTATTATCAAGAGACAATTTCCTACATACTTCTTCAATACAGTCATGGCTTGTTTTCTTGGTCGATCGGCGAGTAAAACGATGAATGGCATCCGTTGATTTGATCTCATATCTAATGGTCTTGTTTGAATCAGTTAACTTCATTGGTATTGTATATAGTCGAATTTTATGCGATTGGAATATGTAATCACAAGTAAAAATCCATTGCTTTTCTTTAAGCCAGAAGCGTGTTCGAAACGGAGCAATGATTGATTTGAGACTAGTGACATGATAGCTGCTTCCATGAGCAAATGTATAAGACGCGAAAAATTCGAACTGTTCCAATGAAAGTAATTTAGTTTCTATTAATCTTTTCCAAGAATAACCATCACATATAGAACTGAACATTCGTCCATTACAACCTAATTTCAAATGGAGAAGAGTAGGTGTAAATGACAGTAACAATTGTATTACTTCCATAGACAAGGAACATTGTTCAATAGTCAAAGACTTCAAAGACGAAATATGTGTTGAATGAGATAATGAAACCATGGTTCCTTCGTTATTATTTACAATGCAATCTCTCATTACAAACGTATGCAAGTTAGCGAAATTTTGTACGATAGCAACATATTCTTGAAAAAGACATTTATGCATAGTTAGATGTTCTAGTTTACATTGCAATGGCCATTGGGTAGCTTCAATCCGATCATCCAAATCATTGTAAAAATTTAGTTTTCGAACTTGATACTGAGCAATTGCTCGCAAAGCAAGAATCCAATTCATCTTAAAATTTGGCGAATCTGGTTCTATAACAAGTAAATTCAGACATTCGCATTCTACATGCTGTAGAAAATGTTCTAATTGTACATTATCGGAACAGTTCAAAGTCAATGAACAAATACGAGTAAATCGACAAGTATCAAAGAATGTGACAAATCGTCTAATTCGATCATTTTTGGTACCGTTATTACTTATAAACAGCGAAATAACATTTTCGGATCGAATGTGACGACAAATTCGTTTGAAATAATGCTCTGATGATGAGTCATAATTGAGTTCCAATCGATTATAGGTGTCCGATATAGCACGAAGCTGTTTGCAGACAAAACGAATTGAAAGAAGAACTGTTTGAATATCACAAAAGTCAAAAATGCGATGTAACAATTCAACAGGTAAACTATCGAGAGATGTATAAACCATCGTTGTGAATATAGTAAAAATATGCAGTCAGTTTGCGCACACTTTCCGTTTATGGTGGGTCATACGAAAAGAAAAATGGAGTTTCTTTTTTTTTTCTTGTATGCATTGCTGAGTCATTATAGATGACACATTCAATTCACCTGTAGAAGCAAAAGCAAATGATTCACAGAGCAAAAAAAATACTTACAAACGTCAGCCTATGTATCATCGATCTGCTAATATTATTCACAAGCTTTATTCAAACAAAATTCACAAATAACAAAGAAAAACAAAATTCAAAAATGTAAAATTTCGTACATCAATATGTTTGCCGTGGTGTGCATGACGAAGGATATGGTATGATTCACTTTTCAAGCTACAAAGTAGTGTTCGTCATGATCTTTGCTGTTTTACTTGTAGTGAAAATACTGAGAGAACATTCTTTGTAGATCATACGTTAGATCTTGAACTTTCACAAATTTTCATATGCAGAAATCTTCGCATTATAGATGAGATTGGTATTGATAGTTGTTACAAATCCGAACAGATTTCATATATATGTTTCACTCTCCAGTCAATAGAAAAATCAAGAAGAACAATTGCAATGTGGATCTATTGTCAAAGAAAAAGAGGTCACTAGTCCGAATTGGTTACTAAATCTGTGCATACATGTGTGAGCTGAATCTAAGTCATTTACCTACTAGACATATGTCCCTAGGGTGTGGGTATCGGGTGAATGTGTTTGTTGGATAATTGAACTCATACACACACCCACGCCCATACTCTTCACCAAGGAAGCTAATAATTATAATCATCTGTTATCAAAGTTTTGGTTTTTCCTTGAAATTTGAATATACGTTTGATTATATGCCTATCGATCTCAAATTTTAGTTAAAAATACTTCAAGCATATCTAAGTAGTTCGTAGACAGTTGAGTTTCATGCTGATGGTGATTTGAAAATTGAGATAGTTGAATGACATTTATGCATAGACCACAAAATCCTATCAATAGTAACAATCCGACCATTGAAATATGAGTTATTAAAGTATATGCCAACACGATTACTGTTATTACACTTAGAGCGTATAGAATAATCAAAATTGGACCCAACTATTTACGTAAGAAACAGCATAATCATTTGAAAGTAGAGCACAGAAGAACGAACATACTAGACTCAATTCCCACCTGATTGAGCATAGCTACAGCATTTAGTTCCTTGTAAGCCCGGATGAAATAGATAGTTTTAGATGATGTTGGGTTGCTTAATACTTGACCAGACTCACAATGAATCATTGAATTTGAAGCCACGTTTTCGTATATAAAACAAGCACTTCTTTGTCGCGAACAAATTTCATCCTCAAATAACTGTTATACCTGAAAGATCCATCCATCGATGAATAAGACTCAAAGAATCCATGCTAAAGCCGCCAGTTGGAAAATGACAGATAGACGAAAACATCGTGAGGACAGAAAATTAACTTCAATACCGTAAAAATTCATTATGAATTGTTGTTTGTCGAATCGAATAATAACGAATTATTTTTCAATCAAGATCTCTCAAAATCGATTCAATAATAAGAGTGCTATGACCATTGCGACAAAGAAAACTCCAAAATGCCATTTCAAATAGAATGGATTGATATATCTGAAACTCTGCCATTCTGACTTGACAGTATTGTAAAATACAAATCAATCAATATTTATCGTTGATGTATCACGCTGTGTTTGACGTTCTATTAAGATCATTTCACTATCAGACATCGTCAACCAGGAATCAGAGCAAAACAATCAATATTGGCTCAAGATATGAATATATGTATTCTGATCTCGAGCTCAACATTATAATAGGTCGAACACCTGATCAAGTTGATTGTGGTTATATCGTCTAAGGATCAAATATGATCTATACTTTCATGCCTAACCTTGAAGATACTTGTATACAAAATTTTTAGAACATATCAATATTCATATAATCATTGATAACAAATACTTATGACATATGATGCACGTAA